GTTTTCAATTTTTTTAATGTTCAGATGTGATTAGTTAGTAACAGAGAAATTGGACTTGAACCAAAGAAAATGACTTGATTATAGGCTAAAGAAAAAGAGTTGCAAAATTAAAATGAAATATGTTTGACCCAAAGAGTGGGAGAGGGAAGTAGAAAACTTGAAATGGTAAAAGCTAATGGTTACCCATTGAATAATTGTGACCCAACCCAACCCAACTCATTAAATAGCCCAGTGATCCAGGCTAAATGGATACAACCTAACTCGTTAATTAATGGGGTGGGTTGGATGGGTTAGCGAGTTGGGTTAAAAAATTGCCACCCCTAATACCAAGTAAAAGAAACGGATGGGGAAAATTCTGGAGTTATCTCTTTAAGGTATCAAAAACCTCTTGTCTATGGGCGACCATAGACACCAATGCAATTTTAAATATAATCGAAGGGATCTTAATATGCAAATAAAATTCTGGAGTAATTGCTTTAAGGTATCAAAAACCTCTACTTTCAATTATAGTATAACTATAATCATTCAATCTATTGAGGAAGCTTCAAAGAAGGAGCAAGTGCAATGTGTTTTAGGCCCCATTCACTTTTCGGTAAGTTAATTTCTCGAGTAAATAGACTTATCTGATGGGCGTTTTAGCTATAAAAATCCATTATTAAAAGTGGCAATTTTGTCCCATCCAAGTGCTAGCAACTTTCCCCCAACTGGGAAGATGGGTATCATTTATCACTTGCCTAGGGAAGTGGTTCCCAGGGAAAATAAATTTTCCATGAATTCCACAAATCTGAAAAAAGAACATGGGTTTCTTAGTCAATGGGAACCAAAATCCCATTGACTAACTTTCCTCCTCTCAAAATCCAAAAAGCGAGCAAACCCTTAGGTAGGGGTGATCATGGGTCGGATCAGGCTTTGCACTTATGATAAGGCTATAGCTTAGGCCCGAGGTTCTGGGCCTGAAACATAAGCCCTAGCCCAGGTCTATACGGGCCTAGGTCGGGCCGGGCCTGATTCCAGGCCAATATCACTTATATATAAAACATTACATATTTATATATTAAATGACATAACATGCCTATAAAATTATTTTATATATTATATAATATAAAATATTACATATAGTATAAATTATACATGTCATTTTATAATATTTATATATAAAATATATAATATAATGTAAAATAACATGTATACATATGTATATAATATACACAAAATGTGTAAGTTTAAATGCATGCGAGTCGGGCCGAGCTTGAAGTATTAAGCCCAAGTCCGGCCCTAAATTTTAAGGGCCTGATGTGGGCTCGGGCCTGGGCCGGGCCTGAACACAAAACCCAGGCCCAAGCCCGAAATTTCTGGGCCGGGCCTTGTTCACTTTTCAATAAGTTACTTACCCAAGTAAATGCACATACCCGGGTAAGTGTTTCTCAAGAAATATTTACCCGAGTAAATGCATTTACCCATGTTCTTTTATTTCCCAAGTAAATAAAACAACGACCATCTTAGCCATAAAAATACAGTATTAAAAGGGGCATTTTTGTCCCATTCAAGTATTGGCAACTTTCCCAAGGCGGGAAAGTTATTTACCCACTTGGGATATGGGTAAGTGATATCCATAAAAATTAATTTTCCCTGATCCTCCAACAACTCTGAAAAAAGAACATGAGTTTCTTGGTCAATGTGCAACTTTTCCCCTCTCAAAATCCAAATAACAAATGAACCCTTAAATATTAAAAAATTAAAAAATAAAAAAAAATATATTGGTTTCACATCATCAAGCAATCTATTCGTGAACAGAGTGACTGCCCCCACCTTGACAGTTCCAAGCCAACAGCTTCATGGTGCCTACGGTGGCAATTGACAGCTGCCACCTAGGCCTCAAACAAGGTAGATTTCAGGGGGGTAATTCTGCAAACTTGAGCTTGTAGTTCGTCTAGATCTCTTCTTCATGTCAAGTCAAGGTGAGGATGGAGAAACTGGAAGAACAACAATGAACTTTCTCATCGGCCTTACTTTCTAGGAGAGGTGCAAATCCGAAGCAAGTTTGTCTATGATCAACAAGCATAGATTCAGTCTCATTAAGTTGCTCCAATGGTGAAGGTGGATACGCAGGTATTTGACATGCCTTTCTAATCATCTCCTTCAACCCCGAGGGATTAATATTTCTATTTGAATAGCAGGGAAACACCTGCATCATCCCTCACTTGGTAGAGAATCTTCTTCAGTCGCTTTAATCTTTCTCGATGAGCTTGGTAGCAACAACGAGATAGGTTAGTATTCAGTTGGTTGTCCCCTAAATCATCATATATTTTCCTGTCTCTTAAAATTGTGGTCTGTTTCCAATTCGTGCTAGTCGGAACAATTGGTTCTACTACGTATTGGCACATTTCCAACTTACAGCCCAAGACAAGTGAACAATCCAATGGTAGAGTAGCAAAACATTGTACCCTGGACCCATTTAATTTCGCATTCAATCCTTTAATTTTATCAATCAATACCAATATACCATGTCATCAACAAATAACATGCACTGCCAAACCTCTTAAATATGTTGATGAGAGCAAGGTTTTAAAAACCGACCTAGAAAGAGAACCATTCTAGCTACCAGTTTCCAGGTAGGCAGTTTGACTGTCCGGGTCAAATAGTTTGGACGGTTTGCATTAAGGCAAATATTTATATGAGAAAGGACTCAGAAAAACTGGAGAAGAGACTATTGTGGAAAGAAAAAAAGAAAGACAGAAAAGGAAAGGAGAAAGGAAAAAAAAAAAAGAAAAGAGAAAGGAAAGGAAAGGAAGAAAGAGGAAAGAAAAATGAGAGAAAAAGAGGGAAGAGGAGGAGGATGATTCGATGCTCACCGGCGACGATAATGGCGATGGTGAGGTGACGGCAGCAACAGACGCAAATCTGATATTTGAGTTCTAGGATCTCAGATCTAAGATCAATTTCTCTACAACGTCTGTCTTCTTCTTCTTCTTCTTCTCTCTCTCTGTGTTGGATCTCAGATCTGAATTCATGTCTCAGACTGGATCTCAGATCTGAGTTCATGTGTTTCTCTCATCTCTGCAACTTTCTAAAGCTATGAACTGATGTCTGGGTCAAACAAGTCGATGGTTCGACCACCTAGGTCAGTGGTTTTCTGACCAAGTCAACAGTTTTTTATCTAAGAACAGGTTAAGGATGAAACCAAACCAGTTACTTGAACGGTTTCTGGGCCAAACGGTCTGACCGTTTAAGTGAACGATGATTCAAAAACATTGGATGAGAGTCTAGATCAAATCACCACAACACATTGCTGGTCACAGGACTGCAGCCGCACATCAAGAACATCTCCTATGAATGGCAATATAAAATATAAGAGATGCTCCCGATGTGCGGCTTTGCTCATTTGGCCCGCAAGGTGCTGCTGTCAGCATATCCGAACTTGTTTGGTCAATTTATCCATGAATAAGGACCACGTGCACTTTGATGAAGTTCCATCATAAGTGAAAACTGATCTCCCTCCCACAAGTGTTCTAACATCAACTACTAGAACCGATACATTAAATGCATAATTCTATATAACAAAGGAGAAAGGTATGGGTAATTACATGTAAGAAAGCTCGCAGAAGCTCCTGTCTCGCCAGGTAAAATCTTTCATTAAACAGCTTAGTATATCCGAATACTTATCAAGCAGTCTTCAGAAGATCTTCCTAAAAAGACTTGTCAAACATCCCCTATCTGATCTTTATTATCTGATTTAGAAAGAGAACTTGGATCCCACACTACCCAGGAAACTCACTTTCCTCAAGCAAATATATTCTAGTTATAATGTAGGGTATGCATATGTTTTGGCCTTCTTAAATCCTAAATACGAATGCATATCTGATATCATCACCCTCCATACATGATACATCAAGTGAGAATTGAAACTCAAGCCCATGCACTACGGAAGTTCATAGCTAGTTATGAGATTTTTGACATATTCAACACCCACATGCATTCAGTATACGCTACCAACTACGATCTTCTATCTAATATCTAACTAGACAATTCATTCATTTTCATAGAAAAAAGTATTCATTAAAATACAAAGAACACTTAAAAAAATTCCATAAAATTACCCCAAAGCAATCTTTCTCATCCATGCAAACACACCTACCACCCCCTAAGGACAAATTAAAAGCCATATCATAACACCCCCAAAGTGCTATCATTATCCCCTCTTCCAAATTCTCTATCCGAGGATTAGAAGAATCTTTAATAACAAAGAAAGGAAGAAGGATCAATTATGTGCTGTCACCGGTTCGGGGCTGGTGGATTGGATGCTGAATCTTCCAGAGTCCAGAAATTCTAAGAGAGAACGCTTTGATTCTGAATTTTGGGCTTCTTTGAGTCCCTGTTAAGAAGAGTGTCTGTTCTGTTTTCCTTTTTGTTTTACTGCTTGTAATCTGGCTTTGTGGGTGATGCTGCATTGTACCTCTCTTCTTATATTTAATGAATTTTCTTTTTGATTTATCTTCCAAAAAAAACTCTCTCCAAGCATACCTCCCTCAAAATTTACCTGGCTCTGGATCAATTTGCAGACTACAATTCACTACTTAAAAAGCTCATGGTTCAGTAACTGTATTTTTTCTTTTCTTTTTTTCTTTCATTTGTTCTGAGAGTAAAGCAACAAATGTTACAAATCTATTCAAAAGATATGAGAGCTTAAACAGATATTTTTTAGGAGGCCTAAAGGAAGCAAAAGAGATTCATGTTCAACTCGATAGTGTTTTCTATGGCAAGTCTTCAACTCGATAGAATTGATCAAAAGAACCCTTGAAATAGATTCTACTTAAAGAAAGGGTTCTTGTCATAAGTTGTTCCTAGATGGGTTTTTTTACCAGCTAAATTGTTCTTGGTGTTTATAATGTTTTAGATACCTTTTTCATACAAATACATTTACATGTAAATGTATGTGCTGGTAAAAGATACAAGAATAGATGTTTCAAACACATTTACATGCATCAACTAGAAGATCAAGATAACTAAAAGAGCCAGAATGGACTACCACAAAAGGCGCTAGAGGATCAAGATAACTACAAGAATAGATGTTTCTTTTCTTTTTTTCTTTTTTTCCTTTTTTTTTTTGAAAAGAAAAAAAGGTGTAGATGTCAAACTATAACATTACAACACATCATGATAAAAAAAAAGTCCAATGCTTGGAAGCGAGGAAAGCATTGCTCTTGTCTTTGAAGGAAACCTTTGTAATCTGTATCATGAACAAGCCCACATCTTGTTTCATGATTCCTTAGAAACTATAGTTTGAGTATGGTGCTGATAGAAAAGCCAAAATTGCCCATAGTCTGAAAAGGGATTATATGGTCATCCTATGACAAATCTTCATGATAAAGATGAAGCCCAAGCCCTAAACGTGCACAAGCTCGACGAAATGCCATTGATTCTGCCTTTTGAACAGGGTCCCCGAAATTTGTATCATCAACAGAGGCAGTGCCAGTCGATTCCCTAAAAATCTTTTCCAAGTAGCCAAGTCAACTGAATTAGATATCTCCAATAATTCCTTCATTTTCTCCCAAATTCTTAAGATACATTTTTAATTACTCTTTAATGGTTTAAAGACATTTGAAAGCATAATAAATTTAAAGATAATCTGGCAAATCCTACAAAGGTAAAATAAAGAACTTTTTTTGTTACAACTCAATACAACACTTAGATTTAGGGTAGTCAAAAGTACATATTTAAGAGAAAATCAAATATTTTTAATAACTGAAAATAATCAAACTCAAATGGCAAAGTCAAACACATGGAAACTAGAGATATTTGCATGAGAACAAAAGAATCAGGAAAAATGAATTTGAGTGGAGTACTTGATAAATATAATTTTAGATAACAAGCTCAGATGAATATGTTGAAAATGTTTATATTAACATGAACTCATCTAGAGACCAACACCAAGTGGACCCTTTTTTTTGTTGCTTTACAACTGATTTTAAAATGCTTATGGAACAATCTATTTTTTAATTCTATGAGAACTCTATTGAGTTTTCCATACATCCACTGAATCCTTCATAGTTAAATGAAGTTTTCCAGATTTGGAATTGGAAACCCAGTTTTTGAAAAGGGGAAGCCATATTAGGAATTTTTTTCAAGCATCGAATCAGTTTTTTTTCTTTCAGAAGATACCGTTTAAGGCAGTAAGAACTTAGGATGATAGCAAATAGTCACATATATGAAACTATGCAGTGAAAACTACCTCACATGCAAACCTGTCTTTGAAAAATAGGAAGCAACTAATCAAATTTTTTAAAAAGATTTTCCAATGCTAAAAGTTCAAGCACAGCATAAAAAACATGCCAACCATGCATATACATGCACACAAAAATACAAAAACTCCTGAAAAATATAAAGTGAAGTGGTACCTCAGCATCAGTCCCATAGAGTGTTACACGATAGACAACTGATACCGACTTCCCATCAGCAGAATAGGTGATGCTTCGAATTTCACCAGACCATTCTACAATGTTGAACATGAGATACTTTCAGAGTTGTAAAATTTGATACTGAAGTACACATCCCCCTCTAGTCCTCTACCCAAAAAAAAAGATTAGATGAATAAATGAAAATCAATTGTAATTATTTAAATGAAAAAGAAAGCAATATGAGAGAGAAATTAAGATCTAAAATAAACCTGGAGCATGTAAATTCATGATCCGATTGATAACATGCCTGCAAGGAGTGAAAAAGGGATCATTCAAATCCAAGTTTAAAGCAATCCAACAAATATATGCTAGGTTCGTAAAAATTACTGAAAACTAGCCATGCAGAACTACTAGAACAATCCTCTGGTTTTTTATAGAGTCAAATAAAGATCCAAAAAGGATCATTACTCTCTAAGGGCCAGCTATTTAGGGCCTTGGGAAGGGTAATAAACTGGATAGGACCTCAACCTTTAGCATTCATTTCTTACAAAGTGGTCGCTCTCAGACTCGAACCCGCGTTCTCACTCTTGTCAGCCCGGTATTTTACCATTGCACCAAGCAATGGCCCTACATCATTACCAATTTACTATCAAGAAACCAGTATATAGAAAATGAAGAAAAAATATGGGCATGGAACCAAAGATTTCTTAGTAAAAGAAGAAGAACCACGGACATAAGTCAGAAATTCTCTTCTAGGCAAACCGAAATGTCAACAATGAAACATAGACACTCTCAAAATAATCACGAAAAAGAGCATGAAAACTCTCAATCAAAACCATTTCTTACACATTTTCTTGTATGTAAATGCTAGTCATGTTTTCCCTGAATTCACAATCATCTTTCATTTGTAATTCACAATTTTTCCAGAGTTTTCTTCAAGAAGTTCTAGCTTCAAAGTTTACCAAACTAATCCATTCTGATTGAGAGTGAGATAGAGATAGAGGTTCTTACCAAGGAACGTACTTAACGGATAACCCATTTTCCATTCGAACTTTGATGAGGGAATCCGGGATTCTTTTATTAAGTTCTCTGAGAACTTCCGACAACGGGCGACTGATTCCAGAAGTCGGAACATCGAAAGCTTCGGAATGTTCTATTGGGACTACCACTCTCTCCTCACTCTCCTTCTCGTTCGCCACAGGAGCGGAAGAAGCTTTGGCGTAAGACCGAGAAGAGATCCGCGGTGACAATCTTAGAGGGTACTGTAAAGACGAGCAAGAACAACGAGTGGAAGCCTTGAACAAGGATTTCATCAGACACGACGCCATTAAAGAGTTCTTCCGCTCTTTCCCTCTGAGAGAAAGATGACCGGAACTCCGGAAGACAAAACCTCAGTTTTAGGGTTTTGGACATGCCTATGGAAATGGAAGTCAAAATTACCATTTGATTGACATATTGCTGCCCCGAATTTTAAGAAACAACTAGAGGGGACCGCACGGGAAATCTGAAAGATTTAAAAATTTTATTTATTATTAATTAATATTAAATTAATAATCAAAATTTATTGTTATTTAATTAAAAAATTTTAATATTTAAATTTTTAATAATTGTATTTTTTATTTAATATTAATTTACATAAAATAATTAATGTTAATTTAATATGAATAAATATTTTTTATTAAATTTAGTTTTATTAATAATTTGTAGTAATTTTAATAATTGTTATTATTTTTTCATTTTTAAATGAAATTTTGATTACCTTTAAATAAATAAAAATAATTACAAAAACTAACATTATTATTAATTTCACTAATAATTAATAATTATATAGGAATGACAACGGGGTGGGTTCACGATAGGGCACCCCATCCCTATACCTGTCCCATAGTCAATACACTCTCCTCCATCCCCACCCCGTCCGTCCCTAGTGTCAAGCGGGTTCAGGGCAAGGCAACCACTCCCCTATGTCAGGCAAGTTTAAGGGCAAGGCACCCCACTCCTCATCAAGGATGGGGAATCCTCAAATTTTCCCACCTCGTCCCTAGTATTGGCGGGTTCAAGTAGAGGTGTAAATCGGGTCATGTTGGCCTGGCACAGCACAACTTGCATGTGGCCATCACAAAGTGTGGGTCGCGCTATTCTGGCCCACGAGGCGTCTTGACCAGTGCTTCCCTCCCTTAGGATAATTTGGGGGGTCAATTCGGCACGGCCCACGGCCCGAGCCCGCATGGGTCCGTGTCGTGGGCTAGGTTTTAGACCTAGCAAAAAGTTGACCCAACCTGCGATCCCAACCCAACCCAACCCGAAAAAAACAGGGTTAGGGTCTCATATTTAGTTACCCGAATGTAAAAATGACCCGACTCGACCCAACTCGAAAAAAAAACGGGTTGGGTTGGGTCATGGGTCAACCCGCCGACCCGATTGTCAAGTCTAATTGGGATTATTTTGCATTGTTAGAAGTTTACACTCTTTAATTTTTTCTATTTAGTCTTTACTTTTTATTGTTTACTCTTTAAATTGTTAAATGTTCAAGTTTTTTATTTTATATTTTGGAATTTTAAGGTTAATTCTTTTAATTTTAACATTTTTCATGTATTTTTTCTTTATTTTTTTAAATTTCAATTATTTTTTGGGATGACCTGAATTGACCCAATGGGTCAAACCCAAACTCGAACATTTAGGGTTAGGGTCTAGCACTTGACAACCCAACCCGAAATTTCACCCCGACCTAAAATCAACCCAAAGTACATTGACACAACCCAAACCCAATCAACCTAACCCAATTGCCAGGTCTAGCCAGGTTGGTCCATGGGCTAAGCCTTGGACCAAGCCAAGCTATGAAAGGTCCATTTAAAAAAATATGAAAAAGATGTTTAAATTTTTATTTCAAATGATTTTTTATGTATACAATTAGACATATTTATGGGCCGAGTAGCCTCACGGCCCGGCCTGGCCTAACCCATTATTTTTTAGGCTTTGACAAAATTTCAGACTTGTGGGCCCAAGCTTGAACTTTCTCAAATAAGCCCGACTTATACTATTACATATATAAAAGAGTACTTATGTTATATATAATAAATATAATATATATATATATATATATATATATGCTTCCTAAAATATTAATAAATATCAATTTATTATTAGGAAATATAAATTAGTTTACTAATTTATCAAATTATTACCAGATTAATGTAATTTTAGTTTATAAAAATATATTGAAAAATAAGACATCTTGTGTATAGGTCGGGCTTCGGGCTTGGGCTTAAGATCTAGGCCCGATGGTCGGGCTGAGCTCGGGCTTAGGCTTGCACATTTTCTATTGATAAAGAGGCTCGTGTTAATTATAAAACTATGTTTTTTTATAAATTAAAAATTTTATTTAATTCTAGTCTACTATAAAAAAATACATAACATTTCTATGCATATTAATATAAAATTTGTTATTTAAAGATTATATAATAATATTTACCATATATGCATATAACTTCCAAATTGAGCTTATTAGGAGTTATTTAGCTTGGGCTCTATCCGCTAATTGGACTCAAAAAGTTTGATACACAGTTAGATTTCGAATCTCATTATCCCTGATAATGTGTGGACATGGTGCATATCTCAACTAGACCTAACTTAAAAGAAAATAGTTGCTTAATTAAGTTATAAACGATTTGTTACTTTTTATTATTAATTATTAAAATATTGTAATTATTAAATTACTATATTTATTTAAAATATAGTAGTTTATTGAAAGTATCATATTTTCAAAAATATTGCTAATTTCTTGGTTAAAACAAATTAAATGTATTTTTTTGGTAATTAAATGTAATTTTCTACTATTTATAGCTTAAGTTATAATTATTGTTAGTTATAGTTTAAAAATAATTAATGTTAATTATATTACTATTAATAATTAAAATGCATTATTTTTTCATTATTATTCAGTATTTTTTTGCAATAAAATACAACTAATTTAATTTTTTAATTATTTTTAGTATTTTAATTAAGCTTTAGATTTTTTAGAATTTTTGGATTTTTAATTAAGTTTTGGTGTTGTTTTCATTATTATTCATTAATTTTTGCATATGAGTATTTTTCAATAATTTTCAGTTTTTTCAGCATTTATTTTTGCATACTAGTCATACAAAAATAATTTGCATACGCTTTCAGTAAAAATAAATTAAAAAACTAAATAAATATCATAGTTAATAAAAATACAGCTAATTTTCAATATTTTTCAATAATTTATGGCTTTGGTATTTTTTTTTATAATTTTTAGTATATACCCTTATTAATATAAAATATTGTTAATTTTCAATATTATTTAATTATTCATAGTATTTTAATTATGTTTAGGTTTTTCAGAATTTTCCGAATTTTTAATTAATTGTTGGTCTTTTTCATTATTATTTAGTAATTTTTGCATATGAGTAAATTTGCAATAAAATATTATTAATAAAACATGTTATACATTTTAAATTTTTATTATTTTTTATCATTTTTAATGAGTTCAATATGCACAATAAAGGTCTCAACTCATAAAAATTATTAATTAATTAAAATGCATCAATACAAAGTTATCTAATAATATTTTTAAAACTATCAATTAATATTTTTATATTTAAATTTCTTATTTTTTAATTAATTGTTGGTATTTTTTTCATTGTTATTCAATAAGTTTTGCAATAAAATACTGTTAATAAAATGGGTTTTGCATTCTAAATTTTCATTAATTTTTATCATTTTTAATGAGTTCATTATGCACAATAAAGGTCTCAACTCATAAGTTATCTAATAATATTATTACAAGTTTAAAACTATCAATTAATATTTTTATATTTAAATTTCTTATTTTTATTATTATTAAGTTTGATTTTTAAGTGGAATTGAAACACATTTTTAATATTTAATAAGTTTTGTTAATATTTATTTTTATTGAAAGTTATGTGGATTTTTAAATTAATAACTTTGTGATTGTTTAACCTTAACCTATTTATATTATTACTATTCTCTCTCTCTCTTAAATGTAATAATAACATGTATTAAAATAAGAGGCATTGGAAAACGCAAAGGTCTTTATCTAATAGTATATAGTTTTATTAATCTAATCAAGATAAGCAATGATTACTGTTTTATATTTTTTAAATAAAAAAATACAAAAAGTAGAGAAAATAGATAAATAGCTTTATCTCAAATGAGAGACATGCTAACACTCGTGATATAGATAGATAGATTACAACCGCTTATCACTCGTGATCACTCCGTTTATGCTCAGTCAAAAGGTTTTTGTCCTTCGACATCCAATCGACGCATCACAGATGTTCTCTGGATGAGAGGTTTAAATGAAAATGATTGAAATCGAGATTTGTCAAAATGAAAATGAATTAAAATAATTAATTTAATTTGTTATAAAAATAATTTAGTAATTTGGATTAGTTATATTAATAAGGGCTTTTTACATACAAAATGATGAAGTATGATGACTTTACAAAATCAGATATGCTAAAAAAAAAACTAAAACAATGAGCGGGAAAAGTTTTATTTTTTTCTAGACTAAAATGCCCCAAATTCCTGTTCATATAAAATATAAAAATGTTAGTAGATTTTTTATAGAAGTTTCCATCATTTTCTTAAATCATTAAAAAATATAAAAAAATTTTGAGAAAATTTATCTGATTCCATTTTTACAGGCAGCTGATTCCATCTTCTTTCTTTACAAGCGGCGAACCCAGATCTGTCTTCACAGAGGAAAACGATAAAAACAAATCTGGGTTTAAATATAATATTTGAGTTGGCTTAGATTGACTTGGCTCAATTAGTGTAGGACAAAACAACCTTTGCGTGAGAATAACAAAAAGAACTTTATCATCGTCACGATCAATATTGTAAACCATCCAACTTAATTCGGATTTGCTCCTCTCCTCTCCCTCATATACGGCCCATTTAAGAATGTCCCTTACTTGGGCTCAGCATGGCAAGGCTCATCCACTCATATGTGGGCCAAACCTGAACTCTCCCATACCATGCCCAAGGCCCAAATGTTATGGGCCTTTTGGGCCCTCATTCTAGCACCAATGAATATAGCAAAAAATGGCGCCTTCATTTTGAACCATCAGTCTGCCAATGAAAACATTGGCCTTCCATTTCGCAGGAGAGAGAGAGAGAGAGAAGCAACAAGTAGCAAAAACAGAAAACAGCGGAGAAAGGTACCCTAGACAATAGATAGAGGCGTCCGAAAGATGATTCTTAGAACTCCTCCTCCAAGGAAGCGCAAGGTGGATTCCGGCGCCACTGACCACGAGACTCCCGGTTCGAATCGCGCTCTAGTCATCTATGAAGACCCCGTGCGGGAATCTTCTCACGATCCCTGTGAGCAGATGCTCTGCACTTACCAATGCCGCCAAATGGTATCCCTCTCGAAATTCACTACAGTCAATTTATTGTCCTTTGTAACAACTTCGGGTCTTACTGATTTCATTGAACTTTTCATAGTAGAAGTTCGTAAAAAAAAGCTTTTATATGAGATTGATGTCTTCTATGTTATTCTTTTTGGCTCTTTGGTTTGAGTGTTGAAATCAATTGCATGAGCTACTTAATTAGTTCAGCTTCAAGAAAACCCATTGGAATTAGTTCAGATTCTTCTCTTTTCCAGGCTCTCGTTTATTGCCTCAGGGCCTGGGGTATTTTAGGTTTGCGGTTGCTTGCATTTGGAACCGACAATTGAGAGACTGACAATAAATTTACTATTTATTACCGTTTTTAGATAATGATGGCTGTGATAGAAAATCTGTAGAAAGTTTCCTTTATTTGCAAAAGAAATATTGGGGACATATGCTATAGTTTGGTTGTAAAATTTTTTAGTTGCCGAGAGTGAATGAATTATTAGATCATTTAATGTGTTAGTGTCTCTAGAGTTAAAGCAAGGTGGTTGAAGTAGATAGGTGCATCTTGTGCCTCTAGGGCGTCATGTTATCTTTTAACATGCACGTTGTACTTGTAGGTTCAAGTCCTACTCCTACATAGGCTTACTAACAATTACAAACTTATAGATTAGTGCTTAAATGTCTTAAATTAAATTCTTAACTCTTATCTAAAAGAACCTCTAGGATAACTTTCTTTGTACAAATTCCGCATGTATCATGATGCATTTTACAATACATTCTAAAAGACTAAAGATCAATTACTAAAAGGACATATAATATGCCAATATCAGAAATGACAAATCAGAGTATTTAAATACAAATATAAAGTCATATTTTTTTGAACCCCAAACTTTACTCCTGATGGAGTGGTGGCCATCATTGAATTTTGCTAATAATAAATTGGTAAGAAATACTTGGGGGGGGGGGGGGAATTGGGGATGTAAAAGCCTTATCCCTCAGAAAAAAAACTAGATACAAGGAGATCATCCCCATAGTTATTAAACATCATGTACAATAAAAAAACTCTAAAATCCACCAACCAAGAAAAACACAAAAACAGAATACCTGAAATATCATTTTTAAACAAGACTTGAATATGAACTGGGAGTTTGAGAAAAGAATTATAGACTGTATTGCTGTGTAAGCTACTCCCTATCTTGGAGAGAGAATCTGCTACTTGGTTTTCTTCACGGTATATGTGAACACATCACCAAAGGGTTGAAAGATGTCATGCAAAATTTTTGGGTGTGTTTCCACCATCCATTCTCTGGCTTGGATTTTTTGTCTCTGTTGAAAACCAGGTTATGTTAAAATCACCACCCAAACACCATGGTCCCTCCCACAATCCTCTAATCATGCTCAACTCTTCCCAAAAATGGACCCTATCTTTATAGGAGTTTGGACCATAAACATTTGTCAAAGCCCAATCCTTACCATCAGTTAGCCTACTAAATTTGATTGAGACTGAGAACTGCCCTACTAGCTCTTCCAAACCCTCCAACTATTCATTCCTCCAAATGATGAGAATACCTCCAGAGGCTCCCCATGAAGGTGCAAAAACCCAGCTTAAGCCCCTAACTCCCCAAATGCTCCTGATCCATCTCCTATCTATCTCTTGAAGTTTTGTTTCTTGTCATAACACCACATGTGATTTTTCCTTCCTGAGGGCTTCTCTAATTAGCCGTCTTTTCTTTGCACTCCCTTAACCCCTCTCATTCCAGAATCCAGCTTATAATCTTCACATCTGCAACAACAATGAACCCTAACTTTTGAGCAGTAACTAACAGGCTTCCCCTCTTCTACCCTTTCTTCTGCTCTCTTCCCTATCATATTCTATCTCACTAACTAACATTTCCACTTCACTCTTCTTCCTTTTCTTTCCTTTGTCCTTCCTTGTGTATGCCTTCACACCTAAGGGCTTCTCCAAGGCGGCTCTCTTTTTTTTCTTAGGCATCTCCCTTAATTTCTTTGGTCTCTTTCTAACTTCCTGTCTTCCCTCTTCAAGACTAGAGCAAGAACTCTTGATTTCTTGCTGTCCTCTCTCTTTCCCTTCCTTCTCTTTTTCTTTTGGCTCCACTAAAGTCAAATTCTCTGTACCTAGTTCCAGAACTTTCTCTTTAACCCTTATCACCCCCACTTCCTCTGAATCCAATTCACTTCCAAGCTTTGTGGCAGAGATATTTTCTGCAATCATTGGCACCTGACTTGACCTGGTTCTGCAAATGCTACCTTTTCTTCTTCTTTTGGCTCTTAGTAAAGTCTGCTTCTTTGTTCCCACCTCCAAAACTTTCTTTCTCACCCCTACCTCCCCTGTTTCCTTTGACTCCTTTGCACCTCTATGTGTTGTGGCAAAAAGATTTTCAGCATCCACTGGCTTCTGAACTGTGGTTGGATTTGCAAACACAGGGGAGGACACACAAACTTCATTATTAGCAAAGGTTTTCGAGGAAAAGAAAGGACCAACATAAATTGAAGGAAATACAGGGGTAGACAACTCACTGTTCACAACTTTTGTAGGCCCCACCCAAAGCAAACTTAGGATGGTTGGAGTCCTATGAGGATGAAGGCTGCACGGCTTCTTGTGGAAGGGGGTGCTGTGCTCCTGTGCTCTGCATCAGGTTGCGATCCAACCCCTGAGTGATGTTATCCGCCGGTTGCTTTGATGTAAGATTACCTAAATCCTCTTGCTTGGTCATTGGTGAAGTCACTTCACATTTGTAGGAGCCTCACCTGGCCTAGACCCTTTCAATAGATTACTTTCGTTTGAAGAATCTTCAGCAAAAAGTATTTGCGTGACTAATTCGTCATCGCTCATTCTCTTGCAAGCCTTAGTCAAGTCTATACTCCGCATACTCAACGGTTGGTTGATTTCTTCATCCCCTTCAGGCTGCATATCGTCCCAGTCGCTGTCTGTATCTGACTCTTCTTTATTTTCTCTGATAAACTTTGGGTTTGGCCAAGCTGGTGTGGTCGAAAGCTCCTCTCTAATCAGTCTCTAAGCTAAGGTTGTGGCCATCCGTTCAGCTGAATACTGTGAGACCTCCACTGACCTCTGAAACTTTTCCATCTCCGCTGTCATCTTCGGTTGGAAGGGAGGAACAATTGATGGGGACAATGATAGATCCAAATTTTTGTCCCCCATCAACCCAAGTGAGCAGGGCACATGACTTTTTAAAGAGTCACACACCATAATATAAGAATTTGGATCCATCCTTCTTAATGAACTGGGTCGGGTTGGCTTGACGTTTTCCTTAACCCGCATATCCAACCGCCTCTGTAAATCCTTAGAATTTGAAAAACTTGCCATCTTAACATCCGCTTCAATTACCTTGTTTGACACGGCAGCCCTCCCTGACACTATCTCTGCACAAGATTTTCTCTCCATCATCCAATCCTGATTGAATGAACCTCCTTTCCATTTTTATAGATATCTGCTGGCCCCCTTTCTTCGCAAGCAACATTTCAGCTTCCTTTTTAAGAGATTTTTCAAGCTCTACTTTTGACCATCCATTCTCCACGTGGCAAAGTTTCAGCTTCCTTTTTAGGAATTGGAGAATCAGGGCACACTTAGGACTGGAGACCAATAAATAACTCCATGTGGCCTTTTCTGGTACATTGGTTCAATATTTCATAACCAGGGAGAGATCGAGGAGGATGTTGCCCATAGGATTAAAGCAGGATGGTCAAAATGGAGGAGTGCATTCGGACTTTTATGTGATAAGTGAATACCACTTGATTAAAAGGACAATTCTATAAGATAGTTGTAAGGCCAGTTATTTTGTATGGAGCAAAGTGTTGGACAGTCAAGAAACATGTCCAAGATATGAGTGTGGTATATTATACTCGGGCCCATTAGGAGTGGGGGTCTCCACTAGGGCAGAATTATTAACTGCCCTTCAAGGGGTGCAGTTTGCAGTACAGCTAGGAGTGGAACATATAATAATAGGAGATTTCAAGGTGGTTGTGGGGTGGTTACAGAAACCAGAGTCGGTGGTGTTGTGTTTTAGGAATGAAATTAAGAAATTCAAGTGGCTAACAAGAAGTCTGTGTATTAGCTAGAATATGATGGGTGGGGAGATCAGCAAATGCTATGGCTGATAGCTTAGCCAAGCAAGGGGCAAACAGGGAACATTTGTATTGGGCATCTCTGTAGTAAGCTTTTGTTTTTGATGTCTTGGAGAGGTCACAGCTCGTGCATCTCCATGGGACACTTGTGCCTGTTCTATACACTTTCTAATAAATTCTTTCTTCATTTATAAAAAAAAAAGAGTGTGGTAAAAATGCTTATGCTGAGTTGTATGAGTGGAAAAACTAGAAAGGATAGGATTAGGAATTAGATCATTTGTAGGAACTTAGGGGTAGACATAGCTCCAATAGCTATAGTTGATAAAATGAAAGAAAGTTGATGCAGATAGTTTGGCCACATGGCATAGAAGACCTTCAACAACACCTGTGAGAAGAAGTGATTTGTTGCAAGTTGAAGGGGATAGAAGGGCTAGGTGGATTAAAAAGGACATGGGTAGAAGTAGCCAGAAATAATTTATGTGCCGATAGTTTAGCAATGGGTATGGCTTTGAACAGAATGGAATGGTGAAGCAGGATTCATGTAGCCGACTTGATATGGTTGGGATAGGCTTAGATGATGATGATGATATTTTTGGGTTTTGTCCTTAAAATAGCACATGAATATTTTAATTTATTTATAAAGAATCACAAATCCATGCTTTCTTGCTATTTTGGAAATGCTAGTTGTGAAATGGCAATTTTGCAGGACTCTATTGATTCAAGAACTTGCTTGGTTTAAAGATTTGCTGAGTCCAGTGTTTGTCTTGATACTTTGGATTTTGTTTTTTCATTTTAATAGGTTAAGTCAGAGTTTTTGGATGCATTGGGTAGTGCAGAGAAGCAAGTTCGTGATTACCAATCCAGACTTGAAATGTTGAATGATGATCTTCGTAAATCTGGTGGGTTGTTAGAAGCTCTATGATGCTGTTAAATCTCATTGCTTGCCTACCATACTCTAAACTTATGCATCCCTTACAAATATCTATACTTTAAATATTCAAACCAGGAAAAATGTTAATACATTTTGATTTCTTTGATAAACCTTCCTGTGATGCCACTTTGTTAACATGGCATTTTGCTAGACAATTTAGTAATATATTTTATTTTGCAGGAATCATGAATTTCCAAACATTCCATTCTTGTTTATATGTAAATATTTTCCACCATGTATTCTTCTGATATAAAAAGGCCACTACCCAATGTTGGTCCTAGCTATCTGTGGTCTTGGGAAAGGGTAGACTGGGTGTGGTCCTAATCTTTGGCAGTTTTTGGATAAAGTGGCTACCTTAAACCTGCGTTCTCACATTTGCAAGCCTGAGATCCATTACACCAAGTAATGGTGAAAGTGTTATTTGTAGATATTGAATGATTTTATGCCATTCATTTTCTAAACTCTTGTGTCTTGATACAATCCACTAAGAACAATAGTTTATAACTTCATTGTAGTTCTCATCTCGTTTTTACTTGATACAGAAGTTGAGAGGAAAAAATTCAGAGATCAGTTCCTTTATGCAGAACAAGAACTTGCTGCTGCCAAAGGGCGTGAACAGTCGCTGCAGGAGCAGCTTTTAAAAGAAGTAAATGATTCTCAGGAACGGCTCCACAAACAAATTAGATCTTACAGTGAACTTGAGGTACTAGTTTTTCTCTGTTAACCTTGGATCAGTTAAGCCTTTTGGTTAATATTACCAAATATCAAGCTGGATGATATGATATTGGTATTTGGAACAAATTTGCTAATGTCTATAGGTACTAGTTTCTATTTCAATCTCAAGAAAAAAACATTATTTCAACCTTGTTATTTTTAGATTGTAGTTGTCAAGTAAGAAATGAGAGGTTAGGTTAAATCTTTTTGATGCTTTAACTCTGTTTAGGTATATTATTTATTAGGGCAATTTTCTTAAACTACCCCTTCTGTTTACATATGGTCTTAAAGTACCTCTACTGTTTCTGACAATTGACTAAATCTTCCTTGCTGTTATTGTCCGTTAACTGAAAAATAAAAAGACTATTTTGCCCATCATTCTTCTTTAAAATTTCAAAATGAGGGCCTGCTAGAAAACACTACCCGATGCTCAATCTGGATCTTGGGAATGACAGGTGGCACTGACGATCAGGAGCGTCGAACACAACTCGATGAGTGCAGATCTACTAAAGATGGAAGAGCTTCTTCGTTCATCTTTTCCGATCGACGGAAAAGCCTCAAACCCAACTTGATTTCTTTTCGTTTCTGTTTTTCCTCTCCCTCTCTATCCCCCCCTCTCTCTCTTACCCACTCTTCTTCTCCCCATCGACCTCACCTCCCCTGTTTCAGTGTAATAAAACATCGTCGCTGCTGCAACTTCTACTCACCGGTCGATTCAGTCTTCTTCTCTAAAGGTGCTGTCAGCCGGGAACAGCCTCTACAAATGCCTGAACCGCCACCACGAGTGCCCGAATCTCAACCGCCATCGGAACCGCTGCTGAAACCACCACTCTCTCTGACAGGAGGGGGGCGAGACAATTGTCATTGAAGCTGTTCAAAGTGACAGAAATGATGAAGATTAGTATGATACAACTGTTGTTCAAAATCTCACAATCCTTGCTCTATGTCGTGTTTGCTTTTACGTTGCCTATGCAAACCCAGCTGAAGCCTCTGTTCTCCTTTCCTTTTCAGCTTTTTTTCTCTCTCCCTTCTTTATGCAAGAAAAAACAAACTCATACTAAGCTTTTAACAGAAGGAAAGAGGGGGTTGCAGCGGTGGCATGCAGTACTAAAAATGGTGTGACAGGGGAGCATTGTGCGCAAGCTTTTAATAGGAGAGAGGGGGGTTGCAGCGGGTGCGGTGATTTAGTTGCAGCGCAAGCTTTTCTGCTTGTCTTGACTCAGTGGTGGTTCTTTTCGAAGCTTCCCTGAAACAGAAAACCTTTTCTTAACAGTATAGCAGAGAGCTTGCTAAGGTGCGTGGTTTTACACAAGCTTAATGGCTTGTGTGATGTTGCTGATCAAAGCTTTCAAAGAGGTGCTCCTATAGAAATTGCATAGTCAAAGTCGGAATTGGAGTCAGAGACGAAGATGAAGACGGAGTTGGAGCCGGAGACGTAGATGAAGATAGAATCAGAATCAGAGACAGAGTCGGAGTTGGAGTAGGAGTTGGAGCCGGAGTCGGAGACGTAGACGAATATGGAATCAAGATCGGAATTGGAATCAGAGATAGAGTTGGAGTCAGAGCCGGAGACGTAGATGAAGGCGGAATCGAATCGGAATCAGAGACAAAGTCGGAGGTGGAGATGAAATCGGAATCGGAGAGGGAGACAGAGACTGACGGAGAATGGAGTGAAACCATAAAAGGGTATTTTAGGAATTTTAAAATATATATCTGTCACGTGATGTCAAATGTGAACGGAGTGTGACAGAAAGTTAGCGGTAAGGGAGGTTTTAGACAATTGTCAGAAACCTTGAGGGTACTTTAAGATGATATGTAAACAGTAGGGGTATAGTTAGTCAATTTTCTAAACCTTAGTGGTAGTTTAAGAAATTTGCCCTATTTATTATTATGAACCACTGGAAAGACATTGGAGCCCTTAATTAGTACAAACTGTACAATTTACCAATTTATTTCTTGTTATTCTCATATTTTGATGGCAAATTTGCAAATGCTTTGAAATTATATTTACTTACGACAGGAATGCTATTGTAGAGAATTGGTAGGTCCCTTCATGCAATCATACCTGAATACTCTCCTAACTCCTGAAAGCCCTGGATTCCCCAAGCTGCAACCATCAAAGTTTATCTGTCGATCTTAATGTTATTCTTCTAGAGAAGGCTTTCCAGTAGCAACTTCTTGCTTATTCAATTGTGATGCTAACACATGTTTGTATTGCAATAAAAGATATTAGATTCAGAGATACCATAGTAAGTTGAATAGTAGTGTTCTAAAATTTCAACTTGTAATTTGCTTGAACTGAAACAACTTGATTAGCTTGGCCATGAAAAGATCAAGTGGTTGTTACTTCATACTGGCAAGGCTTCTCTAGAAGAACAACGGTAAAATCCAGAGCTAAACACATGTTTTCTATTACAGTGAAATGTATTAGACTTGGAGGTACTAGTGAGTTGAATAGCAGCAAGTGTTTTAAAACTAGTAAAGTCAACTTGAAACTTGCCTGAGCTGAAACAACTTGGTTAACTTCGCGATGAAAAGATTTGGTTGGATTTCTGAATTATGAAATCTTGATGATCGGTCTTGAATTAGTTTCCTGATGCCACAATCAAAATCTGGAGGGGGGGGAGTTTTGAGAAAGAGGTTCTCTTTTCAAAGTGGCCATTTCTTTTTCTTATCCCAAAGGTAAAAGATATACCCCTGTACAAAATATACAATTAATGTATTTGTTACATAAAAATCCCATTATATCCTTATAACTCAACATAATCCAAAGTGTGGAAAATCAGTGTTGCTGTGATAACAGACTTTGATTGGACAAGTGCTGATCTTTCAATAGCCAAAGTGCCAAACTTCAAAATATTTGCCTCTCATAAATCATACCTGATTGACCAATTAACGAGCTTTTGTTCTCAATTTTGTCAGTACCTGATTCACCTATAATGTTTCAAATGTTTAGAAAATAACAGATGGCAAAAAAGATTGTGGGGGTAGAATGGAGAGAAAAATCAGGGTCTTTCTACCAAATAATGAGGCTTTGATTGGACATAATCCAGTGTGTGGAAATTGAGTATTGCTGTGATAACAGACTTTGATTGGACAAATAGTGATCTTTCAATAGCCAAAGTTTGAAACATCAGCCTCTCATATCTGATTGACCAATTAATGAGCTTTTGTTCTCAGTTTTGCCAGAACCTACAAAAGAGTTTTGGGGTAAAAATGGAAAGAATTATCAGTCTTTCAACCAATGAGATATGGTCATGGTCATGATTTTTCTGGGATTTGAGAAAAAGATAACTTGTATTTAGAAAAGGGGAGGGAGTGATGTTCACATGAAATACTGTTCAAAAGAGGGCCTAGATAAACCAAAAAGCAAGTTCCTAACTATTTTTTGATAGTATCATAAAAGAAAGTTTTATTAAAAAATAGAACCACAAATTACATCAAGGTATAAAGATTACACCATCAGACATTACAAAGAGCTAATCCAGATTACATTCTTGAATCTCAAGAGCACTCCAAAAGGAGGACCTAAAATCTGACAAAGAAGTTCGAGCAAAATCTGGAAGGATGAGCACCCAGGCAGAATAGCTTTTCCAATAGACTCCACTACCTTTTCTAACACATGTTGACTATCCTTGAATACTCTTCTGTTTCTTTCTCTCCAAATTGACCAACACACAGCAAAAGGAATACAACCCCACACAATTCTGGCTTTTTTGCTGCCCTTGTAGGAAGGCCATTTGGAAAAGATTTCCGCTGGAGACTCAGGGAGGAACAGCTGCATGCCAAACAGATCTGAATAATAACTCCAGTACGTCTCAGCCACCAAGCACAAGAAGAACAAATGAAGTACTGTTTCCTCACATTCTTTGCACATGTGGCAATTGTTTGCCATGTGAAAGCCTCTTGACTTCAAATGGTCAGTGGTAAGAACACTATCTATAGCCACCAACCACGCAAATGCCTCCACCCTAGGTGGAACAGGATTACCCTACATGCCCTTTACAGCTCTCTTCCCCCAACTAGTTTTTAATTTTTTTTGAAGAATCAGAAAAAAAAGATTTTATTAAAAGATAAAGAATACAAAAGAAAGGTGATAAGATATCACCTGAGAAAGGGGCACATCCAAAAGACCCTTACACAGAGACCACAACCATCCAAATCCAACCCAAAGCCACACAAACACAAAAACCACACTTTACCCAAGAACAACTAAAAAACCCAGACGTGAAAAAGGAAACCCCTATAACTGAGATTGTCACCATACAGACAGCTGAACTGGCTAAGCCTCAACTCGCGATATGAACACAGCCTCAATCTTTGTCCACTAGAGCATCTTGTTGCCCTAATCATCCTTATCCCAAACCTTGCCTTCTTGCAATCAAGCTCTTTTATTCAACTTCTCGTCCCTTGTTTTCCCTTCAAACTCGTCGAAGGCCCTTCTAACTAATTCCTTGCTTCCCCAAAAACATAAACCCAGGCTGTTACCGATTGTTACCTCTCTTTCCACTAATATCTGGATAGGCACGCCATCTGAGTCATCCTTCTTTTTGTCGCTTGTTTGTAACGGCAAGTTCTCACCAGAGTCAGCACCTTCGACATACACATTGTTTACTTGTTGCTCCTTCCTCAACTGGTTTTTAATCAGAGCTAGATAGAATGACTTCACTGTGAATTTCCCATTCTTGCACTCCTTCCACCACAATTCATTCCTTGAAGAACTAGAGACCTTTGAAATCTCCAAGACTTCCAGAAGTTGTACACATTCCTCCACCTCCCTAACCCAGAAAAGTCTCCTAAACTTTTGGCACCAAATCACCTTGTCCCCCCTCCTCTCATAGCATTGGCTGATTGAAACATCATGGTCAACCAACCTGTATAGTTTGGGACAAACCTCACACAACCTTCCCACTCCACACCAGGTGAGATTTCTGAAATCTTGGTTGAAGTTCATGATACCTTTCCAGATACTCACCCCAAAATTGCTGA